AAATTTTAATCCCTCAACTTCTAATATATGCATATTTTTTGTCCATCCACTTTAAGTTAAGAAATTTAAAATGTGTATATTTAGACAACTTAACAAAGTAATTGATAGAAGAACTAAAAAAATACATTTTTCATAATTGATGGACTAAAAAGGCAGAATACTCAAATCCACCCCCAAAGTATAGTGGTAGGGACGGATCCACCCTCGAACAAAAAATGGGGACAAATCCACTCACAAAACTTTCAACTTGGACAAATCACCCCAAATTTAACGTGTGACGTCATTTCACATCAGCAATCTGTTAATTTGACATCATCTGACGTCAACAATCCGTTAACAAATTAACGAATTGCTGATATCAAATGACGTTACACGTTAAATTTGGAATGATTTGTCTAAGTCAAAAACTTTGTGGGTGGATTTGTCCCTGTTTTTTATTCGAGGGTGGATCTGTTCCTGCTACTATATTTTGGAGGTGGATTTGGGTATTTTGCCGACTAAAAAAGTTCATAAAAAAATTCATAAAAATGTTAAAAGATGAAAATTATGTAAAACATTAAAGTTGAGAACCAAAAATAGAATTTACTCTTTTTAAATTTGAATTGATTTCTGCTGCCAATTTTCGTATACCAACCGGTACATCAAAATTTGATCGAAATTGACCAAATTTGACCGAAACAAAATTGAATCATATATCATCTCAATTTAATGCAAAAACCAATACATATCAACCATACCAACTGATATGTACCAACCATATCAACCAATACGGTATCAATAACATTGCTACATAAATGCTACATCAATTTTTTGTTGTGGGTCCCACAAAAATTTCCTCATAACCAAAAAGAAAAAATAAGTTTAAGAGCTTTTTGATGTTTTCGAGAGGTAAAATTAAAAGTATAGGAATTATTTATTTATTTATATATGTTTTGGTTACCAGTTAGATTGAACTTAATGGCATTAGCAAGTGATTTAACTCACCTAATGGTTTCCATCCAATTAAGACTTTATTGGAGAATTTCAACAACTTTAAGACCTTAATTAAACACAATAAAACTTTAAAACCTTAATTACAAATTTAGTGTAAGTTTAGGTCTTTATGTACTACATTAGCCATTTTCTAACTTATGTCCTAATAATTGCATATTTTTATCATTTAATTTATACGGCAAAAAAATAAAAATTGAGTTAAGCTTTATTAACCCTTCAATTAACTTATAATCATAGTATTAATGTTGAAAATAAAATTTCCTTTCATAATTTTTTATATAAATTAATAATAAAAAATATAATAAATGCATTTAAAGACTCGAATTTAAAAGACCATTTGCATATTTATCTACCTAAATACTTGCACAAATTAATATGTAGAGAATGAAAACTAAGGTAAAAATTAAGGAGAATAATACCTACATGAATACCAAAGGGAAATATCTATAGAGAAAAAGGGTACCGCTCTGCTCCGGAATAGAGGAGGTTGATTAGACAATTCAGTAATAGTAATAAATTCTCTACCAGCTGCCAAGCGCGGATAACGAAGAAATAAATCCAACCCCACATCTGTTATCACCACATGTAAGCAACAACAGATCAAAACTACGAGTATACATTAAATCCAAATTCTATATGGTGAGAATTAACGATGAATTAAAGCTTAGAATAAGAAAGACTAGCCACCAATCCTTACCAGGCATGAAATTGAGTAAGCAATATTTAAGGAACAAGGCTCCCTGGTTGCTATTTTCTGGAAGTAAGAATTCAATTTGAGTTATAGAGTGGAGATAGTATGCCATATCCTTCTGGCGTTTAACGCATGCCACCACAAGTGGTGCATATCCTTGTTTGTTC